TCAATGTGCACCTATACATTGACTTGCTCTTGTGTGAAAGGTTAGGTTGGCCATACAAAGAGACCACTTTCCAAACGCATTTCAGAAAATTACTTAACGTTACTTTTAAAAGGAGAATGTAAAACAGTCACTAGTTCAATACAAGAGCATCTAATCAACTCTGAACACATCGGTTTGAAGGAAGTTTTCATTAAAACAGTCTACACAATCAAAGAAACTGAATCAAAGGGAAGTCAAATCGAAAACTTTTATACTGCTGAGGTTCAAGCCTGAACTCTGTGCGAAAATGACACGTCCAACCTCTCATCCCTCATTGAATTTAATTTACTTCTGTAGTATGTTTTGATCGTTTTCTTTATAAGTTAGTGTTTCCTAATTTTAAACTTTAATCAGTTATTATTATGCTCCAACGATTTTTCATGATTATTATTCAGTTGTTACTATGACCTTCATTATCAGAAGGGGTTTTGTGAAGATTTGAGAAATTTTATAGTTGAATTCATGAGTCAGTTGAAGCTAGACCACCATGGAAAACCTAGAAGTGGTAGACGAACGTTTCGTTCTAGTATGGGACTCCTCGGCAGTGCGCATACGCGATGTAACTTCTACAACATTTTGATCACGTTTTTATGATCATTCCATCATTGATGACAGATGTAGGCAAAACTATTTTCATCTTTCTATTCTTCTCTAAGCCACTGATTATGACACAACTTAATTTGAACACTGCAGTCTTGAATCACTTTGCCATTCAATCTTTTCTATCCTTCTATAGACACATATATTTGCCATCAAACTCTATATAAGAATGTACAACTTCAATAAATGATAACATCCAGAAATGTAACTTCTACAACATTTTGATCACGTTTTTATGATCATTCCATCATTGATGACAGATGTAGGCACAATGAGATATTCGAATCCATACTGTATTCTTAGAATTTCAGAAAACATAGATTCAATTCGGACATCACTTTTAACGACCAATTATTCGTCATTTTCTTTGTTTACAGTTAAACATCAGTTGCTCACAGATATTATTAAAGAAATGAAGGAATAAAGGTAAACATTTCAGTGACATTTTCAATTAAACTCATGAAATGCTGATTGGATAAGATGCTTCTAAGCGTTTTCAGCGCCTTTTTTTTCGAGGAGTTTTCTGGACCTCCCCAACAGTATGTAATCAGCAACGTCTTTTTTTCGTTTCAGATAATACACAGAAGAAATGAAATGAAGCTCCATTATTACTGATATTCTCACATGCTTCAATCTGATTTAATTTTTAACTGACCAATTTTAAGTAAAGCTACAAATAATCTGTTAATTATAAGTTAATAAATAAAGAATGTTCGCAAATACTTTGATCTATGTCTTTTCAAATAGAAAGGAGATCATTATTATGCACGTTGGGATGACTTTGACTGCTGATAGGACTAAGTAACCTTACATGATATGTGCTACTGATGTTGACAGATATAAGTAGTATGTATCATCAGTCGAAAGTGAAATGCCTCGAGAGAAAGTTAACATGATCGAAGGAGATAGAACGAGAACAAAGAATGATTAGTGCGGAAACGAAGGAACAATGAAGTCTGAGATGATTGATTGACATTTTGCAAATGAAGTATTTCTTTACTGTATGGTACTCAGATTTTACAAAAAAGATTCTCTAATTTTGTGTTGAAACACATTCGATTGTCGCTAATCATATTCTCGTTCACCACGCTATTACCTATTTCATAGGAACCTCATGAAACAAATATCTAACTCTACGTTTTACGAAGTGTTCAATAAGTATATAAAACCATGCATTGACAACACAGATAATTGATCATTTTGATCAGTTGGATCTTGTCACACAAAAATTTGTTGTTCATTCATAATCAACATCTATGGTGAAGTCATAACAGCAGATGTAGAAGAGTTTGAATGCGACCGATATATCAATAAATTCAGGAACGTTATTGATATAACTCTTTACAAAGTATTCCACGCGAAATGGAGTATTCAGAAGAACACTGCCATTGGAATATGGTTTTCATGAATATCTTCTTGAACGCTGATTAAATATAAATTCATGCCTGAATAGTTTGATTATGAAGGGTCACTTCAACGAAATCATCATCTAAAATACACAACAAATACCACATATTAAGTGGTTGACGTCTTCTTCATTACTCAAAGATGAAAATCTGGGTATTTTCTTAAGGCTCAACCAAATCAATGCAAATCACTACAATCCTCCAGTCAGTTGACACACCAGCCATACTCAGAGTACAATACAGTTCTTTTCATAAATGGATGCATTTCACCAGTTAAATAGACACCACTTTCAAGATCATGATTCAATACTACTTTGAATTTGTATACTTAATACTCATTGTAAATTTCAAATTCATTTCTTTTGATAATATAGATTAGAATATATCAACTTGTTCTATTCCAAGAAACGAATAAAGTTAGTATAAATAGCACTTTGAAATTTTATAATTTCCAGAAAATAGTGCTGTTAGAGTTATGTGTTTGAATAGTAATACGATTGGAGCACAAAATTTAAAAAAAAGTTGATGCGCTTCCCACATCATTGTCAACAGATTTCAAGTACATTTCAATTAGCACTATAAAAGTATTTTGTATGTGATATAGGTACAAAGAATTACTAGTGATCATAAATGTTTCCTTATTGACAGTTGTGTTTAGTAGAGAAGTTTATATGTGTCTTTTCAGTCTAAACGGCAATGGCATGTGTTACCTACTCAGTCATCAGCTTCTATCACTCGAGATATTCATCTGATTTAATATGAACAATGTCTTAACAAGAGAGAGTTTTTTGGGGATACCTGAATTTTTTTCACAATATATATTTGATAAGCACACGATAGTTAACACTTTGTGTAGTATAGAGTATAACGTCATGAGCATTTTCGCTTAACATCCTTCAAAAAAAAGTCAAAGATTGTTGAATGGCTTGCTTTACAGTTAACCCGTCAGTCAATATCAGTCAAACGGTGTATAACTTTCAGTCAGAATCCGTAATATTTTTTCGCTTAAAACTCTGATTTCAAACCAATTGTGAACATGTGCTACAGGATCCTGAGGGAACGAAAGGCGTAGTAACCAGTTATTGAACTCCGAATACCATGGAATTGCATCTCTTAACGTTGATCGACTGCCTCATAGATTAGGTTTGTAGGTCAAATGTTCGGGGAATAGCCTCCTAGGAAAACCACCTTCGGTTTGGGCAGCCAAGGCAGTATCCTAACCCTTACATAAATCGAATGATTGATTTGGAGCATATCTATCTAGTGCCTCCTTGTGCCAATGTTTATGTGTTAGAATAAATAAACATGGATTAATATCCGATATTTTGTACTTTCTCACATTTGCACTAAAAAGTATTAGGCATACAACCTTAAACATGGATAATTTTGAGTATGAAATTAACATCAGTATGAATGTGAAATTTGACATTTTCACATAAGTGGATATGACACACATTGAGGAAATCACCCAACTGCGTCACAAGACAAGCTCTTACTTGGAATCCTAAAGACTGAAGAACACATTACGCCGAGAAGTGGAAACAGATATGAGAAGAATAAACAACAGTTGGATAGAACTAGAAATTAAGGCACATGATAGAGTGAGTAGGTTGAAGAATGCTGGTGGGAGGCTTATGCTCCATTGGGAGTAACAGGCGTAAGTAAGTTTAAAAAAATTGTACTCCTCAGCTTTGCTTAAAAAAGAATTACTCAACCTCAAATGAAATAAACCATCATTATATCAAGTACTCTAGCCTATAACCCTAACACATTATAACTTGATCAGTCATATTAACAAACAATCAACTAAATATAATTTCAACATAGTATAACAATAACATCAAACAACATCAATACATACAGTCAGTCACAACGTAGAATCTCGTACGTACATCCGTTCGAGTTGCCATACATAATAATACCAATACTACTAATACTTTGTATCAATTTTGTTTATTTACTTCTATAAAAAGTAAGTTATAAGTTACAATTTGTAATAATTACCTAATACCCTTCAAAAACAAAACCCCCCTACATTCATAAGAATACAATGGAATATACAAAAAAAAGAAAAGAAAACAATGAGACAATTATTCCTATTAAGGTTTGCAAAGAATCATCCTATGAGAATAACTACAGAAGTATATGTGCGTATAGATTACAAGGGGTAACAGGTATAAGTAAGTAGGTAAGTTAGTTCAAGTATACATAAGTAATTAAGTGTCTATATTCAATAATGAAAAGTTGGATGAACTATGTTACATTCCATGGAGATTAATGAATGATAACTCCTCACTGATTGCCAGGGGGATCATCACGTCATATATATATTTATGTATATTGACAGGGTAAGCAGGCACTTACTCAATCCATATCATAAATTACATTGTGAATGTATGTCATATTGAACACTTACACACACACACACACATACTCCCTTTCTCTTTGAGAATCATTCATTGATGTGTATTATTTTGTTTATGGTAAATGTAATGTAATCTGAAGAGAATATACAAATTAAATCTACTTTTTATCACAGTCTATAAGTAAAGATAAGAAACAATGAAAGAAGGATTAAATAAGTATATAAGTAGTATAAATTGAAATCATAAAAATTATTAAAATGAAATGACATAATGACAATTACAATGATCATAGGTAGTGGATTATATGATATGCATGGTTACAGTACAATTATGTATACCATATATCATGAATTGAATCAATTATATTAATGATAATAATAAATAGAAAGGTTTGTCACTCGGAACTGTAAGTTAGTTGCCATAGTGAATAACAGTGAAATAAAGGCGCTTCCAAAAAAAAAACAAAAAAAGAGATTGCAATACATATACACAATTACATGTATGTATATAGATCTATATGAACTATTGTATGTATGTGTATGTATGTATAGGGCATAGTAACAAAAGAATAGATCCATATTAATCTTCTCTAGTTCGTCTATCTTTAACAGAAACGGATAAATGTAATGGAGTTGTTGATAGATTGTCAATAGCAGATTTCTTCAATTGAGCATTGTCTATAGATCTATTTAAATTTGGTGTAAATGAATTGACATTAGGTATTTGTATTTCATTAGAAATTTTTGAAAAACTTGGCCGATTCATTGGTTCATCATGCCAACAATGATTCATTAATGTACGTAACCAAACTGGCATTAAATCTGGTGCAGGTAATCTATAACCTGATAAGAGAAAATATTGAAAAACAAGAAATGATTGTATCGATATATTACTGATAAAAGTAAGTTAGCATAGAACTAAACTCCAAAACTTCCTAGGCATAGATGGATAGTGGTTAGCAGTGAAATACAGTTTGATGAGCATTTTGTCCTATTTTGCTACTCGTCAGCTGGATGTACCTGCATCTTAGAGTTGATGTTCACTCTGGGACTCGAACCAAGTACCATGTTGCAGTCCCAAAAACATCAATGGGAAGATTCAAACAAACAATACTAAGTAAAGTTAAACTTCACCCCATCGCACTAGCAAGTGGCTATCACGACTCAGTGGCCGAGTGGATAACGCGATGGCATTTGAAGCGAACAGTATTAGGTTCGAGTCCCAGAATGATCATCAACTTTGTGATAGAGGTTCATCCATCTGACGAGTCCCAAATAGGACGAAACGTGAGTCCTGGATTCCAATGCTAGTCACTATCCATCTTTGCTTACAATGCAAGTGAATTTAGGCTTTATCGAGGTAATACGCACAGTAAGCACATATGTCAAAAAAGACCGACCAGTTGCAGTCCTAGACATCAATGGGAAGATTCAAACAAACAATACCAAGTGAATCCAAAACTTTCCGTTAATTCCATTCATTCATTTAGCATAAAGAAACTTACATAACAGATTTGAGAAATTAGAGAACTTACCTGATTCAATCATATCCCTAGTTTGTTGATTAGACCAATTTCGATAAGGTACATCACCGAAAGTAAATATTTCCCATAAAAGTACACCATAAGACCATACATCACATTTAATAGTATAACGACCAGTACGAAGTGCTTCAGGAGCTGTCCATTTGATTGGGATTTGACCTCGTTTATCACTTAACTAGAAAAAGATAGATAGATAGATAGATAGATAAGATGAATCACAACTGTCATATGAAGAAATATAAAGAAAAACTCGGTAAAGACACTGTTATTAGAATATCACAGTACGCCTAAAAACCGTAATGTTTAAGAAATGTGTTGACCTTTGATAGATATTTTCGTGAAACTCCTTCATAGTAATTGAATTATATAACGAAAGTTCCTTGTGATATAAAATCTTTCAGTAAAAATAATGGAAGATAGTGGATTCGGTCACTTTAATATAGCATAGCTCTCAGAACTCAAGTCTTTGCCTCAGATGCGATGGCACGGCCAAAAGTGTGAAGAGAATTAGTACGACCTCAAAAAATGCTTTCACATGACCACTCGTATGCAGCCACTGTCACAAAAATCTTATTCACTGCCTTCTTGTGGCATTACTGATGTTTAAGAAATTGAGAAGGCGTCAAGCGAATGTTTGACGCTTTAACCATGTTGGTGGATATAGAGGATCCACTTAGGGGAATTGGAAAATCCTGATTTCAAACCAATTGTGAACATGGGCTACAGGATCCTGAGAGAATAAAAGGCGTATGAACCATTTATTGATCTCCGAATACCATGGGACTGCATCTTCTGACGTTGATCCTGTTACATCCCGAAGAGAATTATGAATGGCAACTTCGAGGACTATTTATAGACCAATATGATGCATATACTTCCTATTGTATAACTGTTAAGTAACTAAACTTTTCATATTCGTGTTCCCTTTATTATAAGCTATATTTTGACCCATAGACTATTACTAAACGATTTACCATTCCTGAGTTATACTCAGTTTCTTAATTACTGTTCCCCCTATTCATAGCTACATTTGGCTAAATCTTGTACAAATGTTGTTCCCTATTTTATAGTACAATGTGGTCAGTTTGTTCGGTATATAAACCCAGGCAGATAGCAGGACTGATAAGTACTCTAGACTGCTCGCAAGGGTTTTGTGTATCAATGGTCCGATCGATGATCCGCTGCTCTCCGATTGGCGACATCATCACGTTATATATTAAACAGGGCACGCACGCACACGATATAACAGATCTACTGCCTTATGGATTACACTTGTAGTTCAAAGTCTCCGGGAATAGCTTTCTAAGGAAACCACCTACTCTGGTTTGGGCAGCCGGGGCAGTATCCCAACCATCACAAAAATCATTTGGTTTATATGGAGCATATCTATTTATTGCCTCCTTGTGTGTACTTAAATAAATAATAAATGCATACTTACATAAAAATTTGATGAAAAATGAGGTTCCTAAACCCCGATATTATACACCTATATAAAACTATTTCTTCAACTTACTTCATATATATGTTCTTCTCTTGACATGCCAAAATCAGCTATTTTTAATTGACCATCATCAGAAATTAAACAATTTCTTGCTGCTAAATCACTATTTTAATACAGATAGAATGAATAATATACAATGAGAGATACAGAATACACGAAATTTACAATTGGTTATAGTTTTATTCTACTTACTTACTGACTTACGCCTCTTACTCCCAATGGAACAGCATTCTCCAACCCACACTGTCCTAGGCCTGCCTATCTAGTTCTATCCAATTTTTGTTCATTCTTCTCATGTCTGTTTTCATTTCTCGGCCTAATGTGTTCTTTGGTTTTCCTCTTCTCCTTTGACCTTCAGGACTCCAAGTGAGAGCTTGCCTTGTGAAGCAGTTGGCTACTTTCCTTAATGTACGTCCTATCCACTTCCAGCGCTTCTTCTTGATTTCTTCCTCCGCTGGATGGAATCTGGTTTGTTGTCTCCCACAGTAACTTGTTGCTGATACTGTCTGGCCATCGGATCCGAAGTCTCTTGCGTAGACAACTGTTAATAAACACCTGTATCTTCTGGATGATTGCTTTCGTATTTCTCCATGTCTCCGCCACATACAGTAAAACTGTCTTCACTTTTGCAATTGAAAATTCTGATCTTGGTGTTGATTGACAATTATTTCGAATTCTAGATGTTCTTCAGTTGTAAATATGCTGTTATTGCTTTGCCGATCCACCTCTCACATCTGCATCATATCCACCGTGTTCATCGATGATGTTGCCCAGATATGTAAAGGTTTTATTCTAACAACATCAAATTTGATCCAGACAAACTATCGAAGAAACGAAGAGAGTGAGGCGAAATGACGTGTGGTGAGGAAACCATGTAATCCAAGTCGATTTCACCAAGCGTGAATCGATATTTATAGTCATATAAAAATAAATCACAGACATGTGATGAATAGGATAAGAAGTGTACATACATACGTTCATACAAAAAACAATCAAGGTTGATAAGTGAATAATTGACAAGGTTAAAATGTGACTCCAGAAGAATGAACAAATTGGTCTGTTCGGAAGCTCGAAGAAGCTATGTGGGCTTGACACAGCAACCAACATAACAGATTTCAAATAGCGTATTAACAAAATATTCTATTCATTCAAATGTTACTAAGGGAAATCTGACCAAAGCTACACATTATTACATAAAGTCTCGCATTAATTTGTACTCATTAAGCAAAATTATGAAAGATGAGTTCATTTCAATTTACATATAATGACTGTATCCCCTTGAAAGCTGTTAAGGAACGTATGTTCGAAAACACACTACAGATAAGAGGAGGAAGTTATGTGTACCACGACTAGATTAGTGGTAACGTTCCTTCTATGGAAATTACGGATCAGTATTCCTGCCAACTGCCACTGAAAGACACTACACTGATATTAGAAGAAACAATCAATCTGTTTACAATCATTATCAGCATTGAATTTATCAAATATGAGCTTCATCTGAAAGTTTCCCCAACATGCCCTGATACGGCCGAGAGTGTAGAGAGTCCGCTCTCCCTCTTTAAATGCTCTCACACGGCCACGCGTATATAGCCTCGGTCAGGGAAGTCCTACTCACTGCCTTCTTGTGGCACGGGTGTTGTTCACCAAAGTGAGGGGACGAAAAGCAAATGTCCGGCAGGAGCTCTAACCGGGTTGGTGGACACGGAAAGTCCATCTATGGGAGTTGGAAAGCCCTCATTTCAAACTGGTGGTGCACATGGGCTCCAGGATCCTGATGGAACGAATGGTGCATGAAACTATTGTTGGTCACCGACTATCATGGGACTGCATCTCTTCACGATGCTCCACTGCCTTGTGGATCAGACTTTTAGGTCAAAGGCTCCGTGTGTGGCCCCTTAAGAAAACCATCTGCTTCAGTTTGGACACCTGGGCAGTTTCACAGCCCTCACACAAATCGAATGAGATTTGTGCGGCGCATATGTATCTGGTACTACCTCCTTGTACCAATATTTATGTGTATAAATGAATAAATAAAATCATATGAAAGTAAAGTATGATATTAAATGAGCATAATATAAAACATACCGATGAATACAATTTCTCGCTTCTAAATACATCATTCCATTAGCAGCATCTAAACTCATTTGAAGTAGTTTCATAACAGGTAATGCATTTTTTGATTTACGTAAATGATTTAACAGAGAACCACCTTTATAATGAACATAAAAAAAACAAACGAAATAAACTAGAATAATACGATTTATTAACTTATCAAAGGAAGAGAGTTAAAACGATCCTTTCGATGGAATCAATGTGTAGTTGTATATACCTATATGAACTAAGTGACAAACTGATACTCCGCTACTGAGTAGTAATAAGTAGTGTGATGTGATATACACAAAAAAGATAAGGACAGAAAGAATGGTGACCATGGCGTTGTTATCTGGATAACTCACTTCTATTTGATATTTGTACTGATAATATTATCCAGAGAGAAAGTGAAAGACCGGAGAATGGAACAACAGGAAAACAAACTAATCACATTAGTAGTTTCACTTGAACTTTACAGTAGTTCACTTGAAAAGCGTTCACGCTTTCCAGTTATTGATATACAAGATTATATCAGTCTGCTATAGCATACGTGGAGATATAACAGAAACCTCAGTACTGCCTATAGTTTCATTCTTTTAATTCAGTTCTGAACTGTAGCTACAAGTGGAATTTAATGAACGCACTTTGTTGCATTTGGAGCCAGTTGATGGGATTTGTATGTATTGCAGTACTGAGAACGTTTTGAGGAGTGTAACCCGGTAGTTTGCATCTATCAATATGTCTCAGAATAACTTTTAATTAATTCATGGACTGACTAACCTATCGTCTCCATCTTTCTCCGACTTACTTGCAGGCCAGTAAACGTCGTTTACGCTAGACGTTCGTTGGATATACATAATACATGTTTCAACACACCAGTTGCTGAAGACCTACTTCATCAACCATTCTGTATTTTTGAAGAGTAACCTCAACGTGACTCAGCCGATGGTTACGGAATATTCGACCAATCCTCTAAAGACATTTATGGTCAAGTACTAGTACAACACTGTTAACGTGCAGTCACAAATTACTGTCAATCCACATGCTACAACCCTTATCCTTTGAAAATGTAACTACTTATAGCTAGTAAGTAGTAAAAATAACAAACTAACATAAATGAAACATGAAATATGCTAGAATTCATAAAAAAAACCCATGGAAAGTTCACCAACCTGGAACATACTCCATTACAATCATAATTGGATAAGATTGCACAGCAATACCAACTAATTTGACAATATTTGGATGATTAAAATTTAATGCAGTTGTTTCACCTTGTAGAAATTTCCTACGTAAATCTGATGCAGTCATATCAACACGACAAGTTTTCACTGCAACTTCACATCCATTATATACACCTCGATAAACATCACCAAAATTACCCTGTAATAAAAAGGAGATGCAGAATATAAAATAAATAATACACACTACTACATGAATACTACAAACTACTGACAGCTGTCAATTATTCTGCAGTAACCATACATGCATGTACTCAAGAAGTGATTAGAATCAGGCGTTTCCTTTGTTGAAGTATAACCAAAAATTAACATCTGTGACTGTAGCTACTCAAACAAGGTCGAAAGTCATTAGTAAATTTCATAGTTAGGTTGAAGAATGCTCTTTTTCCATTATGAGGTAATGTGAAAAAAAACAAAGAACCCTGTCGCTTCATTCAGTTCTCCAACAAAAAAACTAATCTTACTTCGAAATTTAAAACACAGACATTACGCGTTACAGTATACGGAGGATAGACATATACCAATAACTAAAATCGATGAAAATTCAGACGCTGATACTGACTTGGCTATGTTACATAATAACTTAGGACAAGAGTTAATGTTTCTGGCTTGAAGTTTCTGCTAAATATGTGCAATACTTCCAAAACAATTGTAACATTTCTCAAGTATTCTGTGCTATACAGACATAACTTACATACTTACTTACTTAACCTTGCTGTTGGTTGAAAATTGTTTTGAGTTTCAGATGTTCTTCAATTGTAGATATGCTGCTCTTGCTTTGCCGATCCGCGTCTTCACATCTGCATCAGATCCACTGTGCTCATCAATGATGCTGCCCAGATATGTAAAGGTTCTCACATCCTCCAAAGCTTCTCTGTCAAGTGTAATTCCATTGGTGCATGTTGTATTGTATCGGAGAGTCTTGCTTTTCTATTTGTTTATATTGAGACCTACTGCTGCTGAGGCTACTGCTACACTGGTAATCTTCTCCTGCATTTGCTTTTGCGTTTGTGATAGAGGAGCCAGATCATCTGCGAAGCCTAAATCGTCAAGCTGCATCTTGCCAGTCCACTTTATCCCGTGCTTTCCTCCAGATGTTTACGTCTTCATGATCCAGTCGATCACCATGGGAAAGAGAAAGGGTGAGAGTAAACAACCTTGCCTAACACCGGTCTTTATCTTGAATGAGTCTGTAAGTTATCCTCCGTGGACGATTTGGCAGTTTAATACATCATAGGAGACAGACATTACGAAATAACAAACATAAGAATGGCATTATTAAAACCGATTATTATTTTTGTGAAACACAATGTTTGAAAACATACTTGACCAATTTTTTGTAGTAGTTGTACATCACGATTGTCTAGTTACCAATCAGGTCTTGAAATTGGTGTCACAAGACATGCTCCTGATTTCGCTGTCACGGGAGTTTGAGTTTTCATGTGATATTCAATCAGTTCCCTGTACAATTTTAGTTATTAAACAAACGACAATCGTGATTATCGAAGGGAAATTTCAGAGCTGATAATAAACTTATGAAAAAATATTCGAAAGATTTTCTATTGATTGAATGTTCGTCAATTGCACTTACTTACGCCTGTTACTCCCTATGGAGCATAGGCCGCTGACCAGCATTCTCAAACTCACTTTGTCCTGGCTGCGCCTTCCTTACTAGTTCTATCCAGTTTTTGTTCATTTTTCTCATATCTGTTTCCCTTTCTCGGCGTAATGTGTTCTTTGATCTTCTCTTTTCCTTTGGCCTTCAGGATTCTATGAAAGGGTTTTGTCTTGTGACGCAATTGGGTCAATTACACAGGGAATGTCAAAAGTAAATACCATAAGGCCTCATCACACTTTCTCAAGATCAGTTAATTAGCTGATCAAATCTATCTCTGAAACACAAGCTCACTGATAATATCACTCAATTGATTGAAATGTTTTTCGATGAATTCGTGTATGAACAATAAATGGACCCACTATTATCGGACTCGAATCACAGATGATATTTCGAAGAAAATACTAAGCTACTCACAAGTAGTAACTAGAACTAAACTGAAAAGATTTATGTTGTGCTAGTTGGTAGCCGGTAGCATGGGTTATATGCGATTATGATATTAATTATGAAACCCATATTGTCTTGATAAAACTTAGTACTAGAAAGCATATTACTGTACTATTTGTCTATGAGATATGTTACGGGTGAAATTACGTGTATTGAACCAGTGTGTAATGATTGAACTGGATGAACGGATACCAAAACTTGGTGAGTAACTGGTTAATATTTACGTGTTTTTCATTTAGGATGCAACCGGTAAGAACATTCCGTAACTCAGATTGCATATCACAGTTGTTCACATATCCATCTCGTATATAAAATTTTAAAAAAAAGCAGCCAGGTATGATATCTGGTTGGAAACCTATTATGACAAAAGTTTTTGTCTCCATTTTGTATATGAGTTTTATACAACTGGATGCAAAAAACCTAATAAGAGATGCAGTCCCATGATAGTCGGTGACCAACAATAGGTTCATACGCCATTCATTCCATCAGGATCCTGAAGCTCATGTGCACGATTTGCTTGGCATGAGGAAGCACTGGACTGTTGTTTCATCATAGTATAGAACTTTTCAGCTGTGGATATTCGGTGTTCGCATCTGGAACCTTCAACCTCACACACGTGAACGCTGAACTTGTAGACCATCGATTCGGCATCCAACGGTGATAATGTTTAATCCTGATCAATTCACGATATTGCGTGATTCACCGTTGGCGTGCGAAACCGAAGGTTGTGGTTTTGAATCCCACTTGCGGTATCGTGGATGCGCATTGCTGATGATTCTTATACCAGGATAAAACAGCCATTCAGTATTTCCAGGTCTTTAATGATGATCTAACATTGTTTATTTTTCTTACAATAAAGATTATTATACATTTCATACTGTCCATGATTAATATTTTAATGAGGTAGTATTTTGAAGGAAGCATGCATCTGACTTCTTTCTGGACTACATGTACGCCGGCTTAGTGGCATTTACCTTAAGCTTCAGCGGTTGATATTTTCTTGACTGGGGTACCTAGCCTGTCTTATACCCTGACAGCATTCTAATGACATTCGAATTGACTGATCTGCCAAGGGCAATGGGCCAATGCATGACGATATTGTTGTGTGCTAGGTTCAAATTGTTTGCTATATGCATACGAATCCATCCCGTTATGGTTCCCAATGTTTCTATTTTGAAGATTTATTCTACAAATAGAAAAATAATGTCCATCACAAAACAGTTAGCCAATACTGAGGTAAGATGGTGGTTGGTGGTGGTCAACAGGAAACCCTGGACCCGGGTTTCGTGCTACTTGGCACTCGTCAGCAAGGTATACCTGTAATCCTGAGGGAACTGATGCTCCCTGGCCGATTCGATCCCGCGTCACTCAGGTTCACAGTCAGAGACGTTACCACGTTACCACGTTAGCATTCGATCAGCACTAAGAAGGACCTGACATGCATGAGATTGATCACCACCCACTGATCAATCAATTGTGACAGTTAGCCAATATTTCTTGATCCACAGTGTTTATGGCATTGACTTCATTTATAACTTTTAATTTTTATAAAAGTTTCATGAGGGTATTTAAATAATGGTGGATTGCATGCATGTTTCATTCTATTTGGAATTTGTCAGGTGGATGAAACGTTTGTTTTCGATCTTATAATTAACTAGAGTTAAACTATAACAAATTTTCAATTCAACTTAGTATTGTTTGTTTGAATCTTCCCATTGATGTTTTTAAGACTGTAACTGATCAGTCTCTAATTGGCATATGTGCATACTGTGCATATTGCTTCGATATAGCCATAATTCACAAGCATCGTAAGCAAAAATGGATAGTGGCTAACAGTGGAATCCAGTTTGACGTGCGTTTCATCCTATTTGGGACTCGTCAGCTGGATGTACCTGCATCTCAGAGTGGATGTTCACTCTGGGACTTGAATCTATTACCTTTCGCTTCAAAAGTCATCACGTTATCCACTCAGAACGAAACGCGCATCCTGGATTCCACTGATAGCCACTACCATCTTTGCTTATATATCGAATTTTGTTATCAAAAACAATATCGCGACAATCCACTTATGATGAACATTTGTCAACGAAAACTGATCAAATGTAATCGGTGATAGCAGCAACCGGTAAAATCAAACTCCTCAATGTAGGCCCAACTTAAAAAAAATTAAATTTATTTACTAAAAGATGATTATCTTTGATATGGATATGCCAAAGTTCTGAAGTTTCAAGGAATGAAAGCGGTCATAAAGAATTCTAGTGGTATTTTCAGATCACCAATAAAGCTATGCCTGTGCTTTTACAGGAAGTGATGATTTCTACAGGATTCTAAACCAGATTATCCAGTAGCTCAGTCAGAGCCGTTAATATCAATACCATTATTATTACTATTATAATTAGTAGTGATATCATTATTATTACTAGCATTATTATGATCATTGTTGTTACTAGTAGTAACACGATTCAAGTCTAAACATGAATAACACTCATCATCAGTGAGATTTCTTGATTTGTTGATCAAATACCGTGAAACAAGATCGATAATCGCTAGACACATTCAAATATTTACAATACTGTCAGATAAGAGACTCCCTAATTAAGTGGAAGATCAATGGAATATCGATGCAAATTACACACGTCTCGATGGCAACTATTCTGAAAACAAGATGACAATCATTAACATTTACCAATTCAGATTCATCAGGGAATATCTGATCAATAATCTATTACTCAACAATATTGACAATCATATTTGTTCTATTCCAAGTATTACAACATGGTTACTTTGTATCTGTTCAATAAGCCTACACTAAAAATTTTCTATGTTGTCTACCCACTGAAGAGCTTATCCAAATGTTAGTGATGAATTCGCCTTACCCTATTCATATAAGTGTTATGATGCATGTTCCTGGAATGTAAATAGTGCAGAATTTACTTACAACACAATGGTATTTTGATTTATCTAGATAATTTGAAGACAGTCAATGTTTACAACAAATAAACTGATAGTATTTCACACATTCAAACACAGATTGCATTCCATCTCAACGAAACAGAGTATTTGGAATGAAGGTGCCTGTA